AAACCTAGAAGCCTCAAGTAGCCAACCTTAGAAAACCTGGTCATTAAAAACTAATGTAGGCACCAAGTTCAGCCAGAGGTAGTTGTTGTGCTCCATTTGTGTACAATGTGTCAAAATGCATTCCACTATCATGTATAACTAATTAGAACAAAATAAAAAATTTAAAAAAAAACAATATAGTGTGGGAGCTGGGATGTAGCTCAGCAGTGGAGTGCTTGTCTAGCATTTAAGGCCCCGGGTTTCATTACCAGCACCTTGGTATGAAGAGAGGGGAAGCCAGCCAGAGCTAGGTTAGGGTAGTGGTGTTCCTTTTAAGCAGAAAAGACTATGCCATTCTGGGTTTGGTGGGACCTCCTTTCCTGTCCATTCAGAGCTACTCAATGCAGAATAAATTGGGTATTGCCATTGGCCAACTAGCAAGACCACAGTTGGCACATTCCCTACCCTCCTTCTGGAGTGAGATTCTCCATGTGGAGCCACAGCTGCTTTGAGATGTCCCATCTAAGGCTGGGAGTGCAAAAAGATAGCAGCCCCCACAGTCCTTGGGCCATGGGGACACCATTCCTCCTGGAGTTGCCTGGCCAGTGGGGAACAGAGGAACTGGCCTCTCCGCATCCTATCTCCTCAGATCCCTCTTCTGGAGCTGCCTATGCCTATTCTGCCCTGTCCTGTGTTGGTGGCTCTCATGATCAGGACCAGGATTGAGTCTCTGCTTCCCAATTTCGCTTTCTCTTCTTGCTACCCTTGCCTGAAGAGTCGGGGACAGGCTCACTGGGGGGCTTGGCACAGAATTTCTCCTGTATATGTGCCTGTGTGTGCGCATGTATGTCCTTTCATGCTCCAGGTTTGACTTTGAGGGTCTGGAGAGTGGTGATGATGGTGCATTTGACAAACTCCGGTCCTGGAGCAGGTCAATCGAAGACCTGCAGCCGCCCAGCGCCCTGTCGGCTCCCTTCACCAACAGCCTCGCTCGCTCTGCGCGCCAGTCTGTGCTCCGGTATGTGTGTGCTCGCTCTTCCCGCCTGCCTCCCACCCCAGCCCCAGTCCAGGTCTCAGTAACCACGGTGAGTGCTCATGCTCCTTCCTTCACTCTTGCTTCCAGGCTCAGCTCTCTTGCCCTCTGCCTGCCAGTCTGTCTCTGGTCTGTCCTCTCTGTCTCCTTGACTCTGCCCAGCGGTCTGTCCTGGGTAAGTACATGGTCCTTAGCTGTGCCACCCACCTGGGGTTCCAGCTCTCCCCCTCCTTCATTCCTCACTCTCTTGGCTATTCCTCCCCAGCCTCTTGGGCAGGGCCTGGGCTTCAGTGGCTGATCTAGCTCTTGTACTCATGTATTTTCCTCTAGCTCTCATTCTGCCCATCAGCTGCTGGGAGAGGAGACCAGCTCCCATTCACCTCCCTGCCTCTCACCTTCCCTTCTTCTTTCAGGCCTTATCTCTCAAAGTCTGCTACATGTTCCTTTGTCTATGATGTCCTAAGAGCCATTCTGCCTGAAGGCAGACAGATGTACTGGATGACTTCTCAGAACTCCTATCCTAGGAGGCTGTCCTTTGGGCCCTGTAGCCTTTTCCTTGGCCTCTGTCTTGTGGCCATTCTTCTCTCCCTACTCTCCTATTTGAGTTTTTTGTCCCTCAAACACTACTAATCATTCTAATAAATGCAGAAGCAAATTCCATTCCTGCTTCCTCTTTTTTTTTAAACAAAACATTATTGAGGCAGTGGAGGGGTGATGCAGAGGCAGAAATAGCCCCCTGGCCTTCCTAAAGCCTTTGGGGTTCTGTTCTGCCTTTTGGGGTCACAGAAGTGGAATAAGAGCCAAGATGCTCCTGCCCCACTAAATGTGAAGAACTGACAGCAACTGAAATTTGGGGGAGGGAAGGTTCAGATGGATCTCTTTGGACTCAACTCAAGGAGTAGGAAGGCCTACACAACTTCTGAGTATATATTTGAGGGTCTCTGGGATTAGCATGGTATGAACACTGGTTATGGAACTGGGATGTTGGGAAGTTGCTGACAAAGTTCTGTTCTGGGAGGTGAACACACGCTGACAATCTGCCTTCTGCACCTTTCTCGTGACTGATGGTACCAAGTCCTTCTCCTATTTCTGCTGCTAAGGAGCAGCCTGGTGTTTGGGTGATGGTGAGCACTCTTTGACCTTTCATCAGCAGCTTTAAACCCCACCTGACAGCCTGGCCTTTTCCCCAGGTACAGCACTCTACCTGGCCGCAGGGCCTTGAAGAACTCCCGCCTGGTAAGCCAAAAAGATGACGTCCACGTCTGTATCCTTTGTCTCAGAGCCATCATGAATTATCAGGTAAGGGGCAGCATTAGCCATGGGTGCTCTACCTCTTCTGCCTCATCTGGTGAACCAGGAGAGCTAACAGGGCACCAGCTTACGAAAGACAGGTTTGCTAGTGGCCTATGGCCAAGGAGATCTGCTGGGTTCTCCCTTCCCCATCAAGGTCCTCTCCATCTTTTTCTTTTGCAGTATGGCTTCAACTTAGTCATGTCCCATCCCCATGCTGTCAATGAGATTGCACTTAGCCTCAACAACAAGAATCCAAGGTAGGTTCTTGCCTTCCCCACTCTTCTCAGGGCTCTAGAGGTCTGGCCTCTACTTGTCCCTGACCAGTCTGCCTATGTCGGAACCTTGGTTTGGGCCCCTCTCCTCTGTTGGGGAAGTGTCCTGGCTGCACAGCTGTGATCCTGGGAACAAACCTTCCTAACCCATCTTCTTCTTTTTTTTTTTTTTTTTGATACTGGGGATTGAACTTGGGGTATTTAACCACTGAGTCACATTCCCAGTTCTTTTTATTTTTGAGACAGGGTCTCACTAAGTTGCTGAGGCTGGACTTGAACTTGCAATCCTCCTGTTTCAGCTTCCTGAGTTGTTGGGATTACAGGCATACACAACCACACTCAGCTCACCTATCTCCTTCCAAAACCCATCACCTCTTTTGCTGCCAAGTCTGTCTCAGTCCTCCAGAAGGACTCCCCTAGTCATGAGCATAAGCTGTGTGGTGGTCAGGATGGGGAGATAAGAGAATTAATCTTCCTTCTTCACTCCTTAGGACCAAAGCCCTGGTCTTGGAGCTCTTAGCAGCTGTGTGTTTGGTGCGAGGAGGTCACGAAATCATCCTGGCTGCCTTTGACAATTTCAAAGAGGTCAGTCTCCTGCTTGCATGTGTGTGGAGAAGGTGGGGAACCTGGTATTTACTTAAAGCACCATTTCATGGGATTTCTAGTGATTTTAATGTTTGAGTGTTTGGCTAAGCAGCCTGCTCCCCAGATTAGGAACAGCACTAAGGTAAAACCAGAACTTTGATCTCATGCATGAGAGCTAATAGCTCTCATGCCAGGAAACCATCCAACTGACTGGCTAAGCTGCTGTTGGCTATAGTGCAATGGTCCTAACCTGGCCATTATCAGATTCACCTTATTAACAGTACAGCTAGCTCCCTGTGCCCCACTCCAGACCACTGGAGACTGGGCATCTGTAGTTTATGAGAACTGCCAGGCAATTCTGCTGTAGTGAACCAAAGCAGGTATGTTTATTAGGGGAGGAAAGGGATGTCTCTCAGATAGTTGTCCACTGTTAGTGAGGGGGGAGAGCTTCTATGTGGAATGTCCTAAGCCTCTGGGCCTGGTTCTGAAACCCCAATCTGCTTGAACGTAGGATTCCTCGACATTCAGCCATAGCTGTGGTCCCACCCCTTCCTCCTCTCTGGACCTCTTCCCTAGCATCCATTGTTTAAGTCAGGAAATAGCTCTTCCTCCTCGAAGCCCAGGGACTCACAGGAGCCTCTGGACCCCCGCTGGCAGAGGACTTTCCTGCACACTGGCTCCTCCTTTGCATTCCCCTGGGACCTCGGCCTCTTGATTCAGCCATGTCCTGATTCCCTTTCTCCTTCTGTCAGTAACTTGGCAGCATCAGACTTCTGTGTTTCTTGTTGGCATAGCCCCAGAGGCATTTAAAGTCCAGCCTAAGGGCACAGGCTTTACTGGTTTCCCTTAGTGAGTTGGTGAGAGACCAGAGACCCAGGGCCAGATTCCAGGTCCCAGGTTTTCTTCTACAGTATCCAGAATGGCTCATTTCCTAGATTAGCTGTGGTTAAACTTGGTCTGAACCAATGCCTTTGCCATGATGTTTCTGGAAGCCTCAGCTCAGGGGCTTAGTTTCTGCATGGGGCAGATCTTTTCCCTGAGAAAGTTTGCTCATCCAGGTGTGCAAGGAGCTGCACCGCTTTGAGAAGCTGATGGAGTATTTCCGTAATGAGGACAGCAACATTGACTTCATGGTGAGGAACAGCCTGGGGCAGGTGCATGCCAAGCAGGGCCATGTGCTCCTTAGGGAAAGGGACCATGGTGACATTGTATTTTGATATTTTTATTCTTCACTAGGTGGCCTGCATGCAGTTCATCAACATTGTAGTACACTCAGTGGAGGATATGAACTTCCGGGTCCACCTACAGTATGAGTTTACAAAGCTGGGACTGGAGGAGTTCCTTCAGGTGAGCTGGCCAGGTGCTTTGGTATAAAGATCCAGCTTAGAAACATCAGTGTTTCTTTTATAAAAACTTAGTCCTTGATGTCTTTGGAACTTGCCTGTTTTCTGTGGTCTGGGTTTTAGGACATCCTACAGAGGTCTCCCTAACTAGGCAGCTCTATGAGGGCCAGATACTGACACAGCAAGTAGCAGGAAATCCCTGCATTATATGCTGTGAGAGGGTGACAAAGACCCAAGAGTTTTTAGGTGGTTCCCCAACTACTACTCTTTCTGATTTCTCCCCAGAAGTCAAGGCATACGGAGAGTGAGAAGTTGCAGGTGCAGATTCAGGCATACCTCGACAATGTGTTTGATGTAGGGGGTTTGTTGGAAGATGCTGAGACCAAGAATGTAGCCCTGGAGAAGGTGGAAGAACTAGAAGAGCACGTATCTCACGTAGGTGGCCTCCTTTGTCTGCCATAACCTTTGATGAATGTCACAGAGGATGGTGATGACTGAGTTTCAAAATCCTGTATTTACCCACTTGCCTCCAGATTGAGTCTCAGGAAGACTTTAGAATCCACTGAGGCTCTCTAGAATATGCTATGGTGTGAGTCACATGCATTCAGACTGCTGCCATTTTGCCTTGTATGTGTTGCTGTTTCATGTGGGGTCAGACCTTGGGCCCTTGGGAGGTGATGTAAAGAAGTCACCTAACCAAGCTGCATTTGGGGACCTATGGGGTGGGAATGTTGGGCCCAGGTCTTGACTGGGCTTTAGTTCATACTGAGTGCCTAGGCTTTAGGGCCAGCCCCGAACCTGCCATTCCCAACCTGCAGCTCACAGAGAAGCTTCTGGACCTGGAGAATGAGAACATGATGCGGGTGGCAGAGCTAGAGAAGCAGCTGCTACAACGAGAAAAAGAGCTGGAGAGCATCAAGGTACCAAAAAATCTGGGGAAGGAAAGCCATGGCCACCCCTGGGCTCCAGTGCTTTGGGACGTTGCTCTTCTGAGTTATGTCAAGAAAAGATCTTGATTTACCCCTGAGTTACACAGATGGTGGTGTTCTGATGACTTCACTCTATTTTTTAGTTTGGGAGGGAAGCTGAAACCAAAGTGGGCAAGACACAAGACATACTGGAAAGGGTAGAGGCAGACTGTGCACCCGCAGGTACCCCTGGAGTCCCTTCCAGTCTCCTCCCAACCCATCTTGCTGCTTTTTCCTCCACGTGCTTCTCAACCCTGCTTACAGATCAGGATTGGAGTAGCTGATTTTTAAGCCATCCACAAAGTATCCTAAATTATGAAAGCAGAGGCTCCTTATATTTCATTCTCTGCTTTATCCTTCTCCCACTTTTTTGTTAGTTATACAGTCATGCCCCACTGGATGTGGTGGTGCATACCTGTAATAGCTCAGGAGGCTGAGGCAAGAGGATCGCAAGTTCAAAGCTAGCCTCAACAATTTCGAGAGGCCCTAAGTAACTTAGCAAGACCCTGTCTCAAAAAAATAGTAATAAAAAAAGGACTAGAAATGTGCTCAGTGGTTAGATTCAATCCCTGGTATCAAAATAATAAGAATGATGTTGTCATTCTGCCCCAACCTTTTTCTTCCCAAGGAATATGATCATGAGCTGAGCCTCTGTTAAGTACCAAATTAGGAAATATAGAGGGTTCAAAGATGGCTAAGACAAAGCCTGTCCATGAGGCTTCCAACTGAGCAATTACACAGGGCCAAATTATAAATAAAAGCAATAAAGAAGGGCTGAGGTTGTGGCTCAGTGGTAAAGCACTTGCCTGGTGTGTGTAAGGCACTGGGTTCAATCCTCAGCATGCATAAATAAATAAATAAATAAATACATGGAATTTTGTCCATGTACAACTAAAAAAAATTTTTTTTGAAAATTAAAAAAAAAGACAATAAAGAGACCCAAGGGGGCTGGGGGTTGTGATTGAGTGGCAGAGCGTTTAACTAGCATGTGTGAGGTACTGGGTTCGAATCTCAGCACCACATATAATAAATGAATAAAATAAAGGTCTGTCAACATCTCCAAGGGCTATGGAGAAAGCAGCTACATCAGACTGGTAGTAGCTAAGGAGAATTTCACAGTAGCATCCTTTATCCTGGGTCCTGAAGGATAGGTGCTGTGAGAACAGTCCAGAGCAGAGAGAATGACATTTCATGGTGTCAGCAGAGGGAGGCCAGCCCTTCTACTCACCTCCTTTGCTCTGCTGCACTCCAACTTCCCTTACTCTCCCATCTAGAATTCTGCTACTCTAAGCACCTCACGAGACCCTTATTTGACTATCCTTTGGGTAGGAAATCTCTCTTACTCCCAGGAGTAATGACTGCTGTGCCTCTAGCCCATCCTTCCCTCAATAACACTCTCTGCCCAATAGGAGACATATGAGAACACAAGCCACCAGGTGCATACCCTGCGGAGGCTCATTAAGGAGAAGGAAGAGGCCTTCCAGCGCCGATGCCACCTGGAGCCAAGCGCTCGTGGCTTGGAGCCCATGGGTGTTGAGGCCCTGACCAGAGCAGGCCCTCCAGAGCTGAGCGAGGGCATACCACCCTCAGACCTGGACCTGCTAGCTCCAGCCCCACCTGCCGAGGAGGCCCTTCCTCTGCCCCCACCACCGGCTCCTCCCTTGCCCCCGCCTCCTCCCCCTTTACCAGGTAAGTAACCAGGATCTCTAGGCCCAGCGGGGCAGCCACATTGTGGGGCCAAAACCCTAGTCAGCAGTGTCTTCTTTAGCAGCCAGGAAATGGCATCATTTGAAGGATGGAAGGCTATCAAGTCAAAGTTAGAGAAAGGGCTGATGGGGAGCTACCATCTAAGGAAGCCTGGGTTACTGGTACAGGGGTGGGCCTGTTTCAAGAATCATCAAAATGCTGCTTCAAAGCAGCCAAGGAGAGGCTGGAGAAACTGAGGCAGAGACTAGATTGAACCGCCTCTGACAGGACTCCTGGTAGTGACTTGAGCTGAACTCACATCGCCTCCTCTCCTAAGAGTCTGTAAGGACAGGTCAGGGGGGCAGAGGAGAGGGCAGCCCAGGAAGTCTCATGACCCCCTGGGTCACTGTGCCATTTCTTTTTCCCCTAGGCAAGTGTCCCCCAGCCCCACCTCTCCCTGGAGCTGCTCCCTCTGTGGTATTGACAGTGGGCCTGTCAGGTGAGTGCCTCTAGGACCTTGGACAGGGCTGGTAGAATCAGGGGAATGTGTCCTTGGCTCCATCCTCAATGATACTCCTTTCAAACTAGCCATTCGCATTAAGAAACCTATCAAGACCAAGTTCCGGTTGCCGGTCTTCAACTGGACAGCACTGAAACCCAATCAGATCAGTGGCACTGTCTTCAGTGAACTGGATGATGAGAAGATCTTGGAGGTGACAGGGTCTGGGGCCCAGAAGGGTGGGGCTGAAGACCAGGTTGCCAGACCTCCTGGACTTCCGTCTTCAGGCAGAGTGGGACCAGGGTCAGCTTCATGAGCCAGAGCTAGGCTCGTGCTGAGTGTACTGCCAGCAGATCGTTGCGTAGTATGAGGCTGCAGTATTTTCCCTTCTCATCTACTCTTGCCAGGACCTGGATCTGGACAAGTTTGAAGAATTGTTTAAGACGAAAGCTCAGGGCCCTGCCCTTGACCTCATCTGCTCCAAGAATAAGACAGCACAAAAAGCTGCCAGCAAGGTGACCCTGTTGGAAGCCAACCGTGCCAAGAACCTGGCCATCACCCTGCGCAAGGCTGGCCGCTCAGCTGAGGAGATTTGCAGGGCTATTCACACGTGAGGCTCCCACTGACCTGGCTCTGGTCCCCAACCAGTTGGCAACCCAGCTCTCCACCCAGGAACCTGGTTTTTCCTAAATTCCAGGGTTCCTGACAGAGTTCCTCCACCCTCTATCATCCACTGTCCTGGCCAGAACTTATTGCATCCATGCTATGTGCCAGAAGCCATGTGAGGTGCTGGAGATGAACCTAGACCTTCACTCAGGGAGCTCCTAGTCTAGTGGGAACAGTGCAGTAATACCAAGTGACACCACCTAGAGGGCAGAAAGAGTAACATGACTGAACTTTGTGATTGGGGGTGGGGGGGTTTCCCAGAAGAGGTGATACCTCAACTGACATCTAAAGGAAGTGCACACATTAGTCCAGTTCAGGGCCCAGAGGGAGGAGCTTGGTACCCTGGGTACTAAAAATGGAATCTGGCTTTAATGTAGGGAGGAGAATATAGGAGGGACAGGGTAGAAAATTGGACAGAAGTCCTGCAGGCCTGCTCAGGTGTTTGGACTTTATCATAGGTACAGAGGGAGGAAATTGATGGACTTACATTTATTGATTGATTGGCAGTACTGGAGTTAAATTCAAGGCCTCAGCGCATGCTAGATAAATGCTCTACCACTGAGTTACATCCTGAGTCCGGACCTCCACTCCCTTTTAAAATCTTATTTTGAGTGAGGATTTTCACTAAGACCAGGCTGGTCTTGAACTTGTGATCTTCTACATGTGTGCACCATTGTGCCAGTTTGAAGGGCTCTTAAACAGGAGTATGGAAGCTGGGCACACTGGCACACACCTGTAATCCTAGCAATTTGGCAGAGTGAGGCAGGAGGATTGCAAGTTCAAAGCCAACCTCAGCAAATAAGACTCTCAGCAACTTAGCAAGACCCTAGTCTTAAAATTAATTAAAAAATGACTGAGGATGCAGCTCAGTGGTAAAGTACCCCCTGGGTTCACTCCCCTGTAGCAAATAAAAAACAGGAACATGGAATGTTCCCAAGATTTTTGGTGCCACTGTGATGGTGCTCTGCCTCTAGCTTCGTCTCATGCAGTCCTCACCCCCATTCCTCCTGGAGGAAAGACATATACAAATGATCCTGTGATCCTCCCTTCTACACAGATATGACCTACAGACACTACCTGTGGATTTTGTGGAGTGCCTGATGCGCTTCCTGCCCACGGAGGCTGAGGTGAAGCTACTGCGGCAATACGAGCGTGAGCGGCAGCCTCTAGAGGAGCTGGCAGCTGAGGACCGCTTCATGTTGCTCTTCAGCAAGGTGGAGCGGCTGACCCAGCGAATGGCTGGCATGGCCTTTCTGGGCAACTTCCAGGACAACCTGCAGATGCTCACACCGGTATAGCCCTCATCCAAATAGTTATCCTCTGCTGCTTCTGCTCCATCTCTTTCTGTTGAGCACTTCCCCTGCCCTGCTCCTCCTCCTAGCTCTTCCCTGACTTTAACTCCACACCATTACCCAAGCCTGGAATGACTCAAGTATTCATCTCATTTTCCAGCAACTCAATGCCATAATTGCAGCCTCTGCCTCCGTCAAGTCTTCACAGAAGCTGAAGCAGATGCTGGAGGTGGGAAGAGGGGTGAATGGGGTGTTGGCCCTGGGGGCTATAGAGAGGGAGCCTTAGGGCATGACCTGACCTGCTTCCCACACATCTGCTGAACAGATCATACTTGCATTGGGAAACTACATGAATAGCAGCAAGCGAGGAGCTGTGTATGGCTTCAAGCTCCAGAGCCTAGATCTGGTAAGAAAGTGGTGGGTAGCATGGGCAGGGTATAGTGGTGGTGGAGCCTGTTTTTAGCTGTCTGGCACTGCCTCTCCCTCCCTTCCAGCTACTGGACACTAAGTCCACTGACCGGAAGATGACTCTGCTGCATTTCATCGCCTTGACAGTGAAGGAGAAATACCCAGACCTAACTAACTTTTGGCATGAGCTGCACTTTGTGGAGAAGGCTGCAGCAGGTGAGGCGAGTTTGGCAGGGTAGGCCAGTCCTTATGTTCAGCCTAGGACTATCCCAGGAAGCTATGAGGAAAGAGAACTCTTGGTCCATTTATTTCTAGTTTTTTTTGTTAACTTTCTGACCACTTCAAAGCTTTCCGCTAGAGCCATGAGCGCAGGCCATCCCAGAGTGGGCCTTCCTCTCTAGGCATCAGGCCTGGCCTAGCCTTCCCAGTTAGGTGCAGTAGGAGCAGGAACAGGAAGGGGAGTTGACTCTTTCCTCCCAACTTCCTTAAGTTGGTTCAGAGACTTACTGACATTTCTCTGTGGTGCATGCAGTATTAGAAAAACCATGAAGCCCTCCAGAGACATAAAGTAGCTGTTATTTGTGCCAGTTCATGGAAGCTGGGCAAGAAGTCAGCTCCACTTTGGAGACCAGCAACAACTGTAGCTTGCCTCCCTTTGCTACCTTGTTCTCTGGAGTTGCTCTACCCGAGAGCCCAGCTCTCTGGTGTGCACTTCCTTCTTCATGTCCACACCTGGGTGAGAACCTTAGTGAGCTGTGCCAAGGGAGAGGGTGTTTGCTGTAGCTGGCTGGGCAATGCATATCCCAGGCCATAGGTCGCCCTCAGCAAGGCCTCTGACTACTACAGTGTCCCTGGAGAATGTGCTGCTAGATGTGAAGGAGCTGGGCCGGGGCATGGAGCTGATTCGGCGAGAATGCAGCATTCATGACAATAGTGTCCTTCGGAGCTTCCTCAGCACCAATGAAGGCAAACTGGATAAGCTCCAGCGTGACGCCAAGACAGCAGAGGTGAGCAAGAGATGGAGTGGGCAGGAGCAACCCAGGCTGTCTAGGTAAGCCTAGCTGGTTCTTTTACATAACACCAACAGCAGGCCTTCTATGTCAGAGAGAGAGGGCTTTGGGGGTGGCAGACAGCCATCTCTGGAGACATGGGCACTTGGGGCCCTCAAGGACCCCCAATTCTCTCTAGTTTACCTTGGCTTGAGTGGTTGATTTTCCTTCCTTTGACCCTGTGCTCTGCTTTCTGTGGGCCACCTGTTCCTGGGCTTCTTCCTGCCAGGCTGACCCCCTTCTGCCAATCCCTTTCCCTAGGAGGCCTACAATGCAGTTGTGCGCTACTTTGGAGAGAGTCCCAAGACCACACCTCCTTCTGTATTTTTTCCAGTATTTGTCCGATTCATTCGTTCTTACAAGGTAAGCTGAAGAGGGGTTTTTAAAGAGAGGTTTGACAGTGAGTAACCCCTCTTTTAAAAAGGGTTGAGGGAGAGAGAGCTCGGGCTTCAAGTCTTGGCTTTTTCCAACTCCTCCTCTGGGTCCTGGGAAGGGAGCAATGAAAGCTGGCGAGAGGCCTCATAGCTGAACTGGTGTGGCAGGGTGGGGGCCCAGGTTCTTCCTGTCATTGTTTGGAGCAGGAAGTGCCCCTCCAGAGGGTGGCCACCTGGGGTTCACTGGTCCCACTGCCACCTACTCTCCACTCTCAGTGTCAGCTCCTCCCCTCCTAGCCCGTAAGCCTCACTGTCCACCTTGGTTCTCTGTAGGAAGCAGAACAAGAGAATGAAGCCCGCAAGAAGCAGGAGGAGGTAATGCGGGAGAAACAGCTGGCTCAGGAAGCCAAGAAGCTGGATGCCAAGGTGCGTGGGACCAAGAACTGGGGCAAAGAACTGGGGACTGAGAGGGAAGTAGAGCTAGAGAGAAGATGGGAAACTGCAACAGATACACCTGAGGCTACAAGGATTGAGGCTAGAATCCAGAGGGATAAGGAGCTGGACTCTGGGAGGGGGATTCCCAGTAGCACATAAGCCAGGAGCATCTTGGGACAGGAGCCAGCCCCTTGTCAGGTTACTGATGACTTCCTTCCCCTTTCAAATGCTTGGCCATAGACCCCATCCCAGCGGAACAAATGGCAACAGCAGGAGCTAATTGCAGAGTTGAGGCGACGCCAGGCTAAGGAGCACCGACCAGTTTATGAGGGAAAAGATGGTACCATTGAGGACATCATCACAGGTGGGGTCCTTCTGTCCTCCTTTGGGGCCTGGTGTTGGATCCAGATCCCAGAGCCCAACCTATCCAGATCCACCCCCGCCCCACTGCCCACCAATGAGGCCTGACCACTGTGTCTCTCTCCTGGGCCAGTGTTGAAGAGTGTCCCTTTCACGGCTCGTACTGCCAAGCGGGGCTCACGCTTCTTCTGTGACGCAGCCCACCATGATGAGTCAAACTGTTAACCCCCAAGGCTGAGGCCCCTGACAGGTATTGGGCACCACAGCTGCCCCTTCTGCATGCCCACCTCCCTGGACTGCTGGAGCCCATAGGCACTCCCTTGCATGCTCTGGAAACATTTCCTAGCTGCCTCTTAGTATGGGAACACATACTTCTTGCATGCCCCACGATGCCAGAAGCATGGCTTATCCTCTGCATTTGCCCACACAGAAGTAGACTCCCTCTCACTAATGCTGTCCTGGCTTCTAAGAATTAAGACCCAAGGGCCAGGTGTGGGAGCTGTGCCAGAGTAGGCAGGACCATAGGCTTATGGTTTTGATTGCTGACGCTGAGGTTACATTTCTGGGTCCAGGGCATCTTGGTCCATCTCTTCTCTACAGTTCCCTCATCACAAGAGCTCTGGTAGTAGATGCTGCCCAGGGGCAGTTAGATGGCCCCTCATGTCTGCTTCCTGACATTCGAAGGGTCTCTTCCCAGTTTCTGGCTCTGCTTAAGTCTACTTTGTTTCTGCCTAGTGGCCTCTAGTCTCCCCACCTGATTTTTTTCAAAGGTCAGAGTCCCAGCATTTTCCCTAGCTGGCCTTAAAGCCTCGCTTCAAATTCCATGGTCCACTTCACGGATGGTTCCTCCCTATCCTGCTGTGGGTGCTCCTGAAGATGCTGTCCTGCCTGTTGATAAGCTCCTTTGTCTTCCCTATAGGCCTCCACCGCCAACCCATTGTTGTTCGCCACCAAGCGCGGAGTGCTGCACCACCCAGTGGCCCCCCTCGGGCTCCAGGCCCCCACTGAGACCCTCTTGGAGGCAGAAGCACTTCAGTCCTGCAAAGTTCCGCCAGTGGACCTGAAGCCAAGGGTCTGGCAGAAGGTTATGCTGCTCTCAGCTGTGCCACCCCCAGCACTCGGGCTGGATCTTACCTATGCCATTGTGGGCACTAGGCCTATTACAGGCCTGGCACTTCTCTAGTGCCTCCAGTACTGTACTTTTGCCCCTGTGGTCTTCAATTTCATTCCTTGAAGGGTCATCAAGGGGTTAGCTCAAAGCTAGGAAAACCCATTTCCAGCTTTACCCTATACAGGGGGCACCTAGGCCGCTCTCCCCTGCTAGAGCCCAGTGAGAAGAGAGGAGAAAAGCTAGTCTCCCTGCTTTTTTCCCCTTTCTTTTCACAGTTCCATGGTCAGCACTAGTCTAGCAGTATACAGGCATCCTGGAACCCTGCCAATCTCAGATCATCTCTTATGAGGAGCAAGGCCCTTTTGTGCTTGGACCCACCCAGCTGCACCCTCATGATAAGTGTAGAGGAGTGATGCCAGGCCTACTGTCCTTCTCCTTGGCCCATTCAAGTCATATGCTGTTCTTGCTGCAGTGGCCTGAAGAGCAGGTTTGTCTACACCAAGACCTCTAGAGAAAGGGCATGCCAACAACCTCCTCACCTCCTTTTCTCAGCTAGGTGGTTTTTTGGTGGGGGGTAGGAAGCATGGTGGTCTCTGCAGACTATCTGCTCAGTTCCCTGCCAGTTTCTTCTCAGTCCCTGGAAGAGAATCAGGGGCCACCTCTTTTTGTACATGTACCATTTCCCTTCTCTCTTGTACATAAACCCTAGTCCTTCCTTCTCTTAACAAAAGCTTGAAGCACCAGGCTGTCTCCTCTTTCTGAGCTTGGGGGAGCCAGGATGGCTGCTGAATTAAAAAGTCTGGGGAAAGGAGCACAGAAGCCTGCCGGAAGGAGGCTGGGTGGTTTCTGACCACACAAAGGGAAGCAGGCCTGTGTGAGACACTAGTGCCCTCTGCTGGACATGTGTACACCAATCCAGTTCCCAGCCTGCCCAAGTAGCACATGGAGAGGACAAAAGTCACCAGCCATGTTATAAATATTGTTATTTAAAAAACAAAAACAAAACACACATACATCAGGTCCCTGGAGAAAGCAGTGGTGAAGCCCCTGGGCAGGCACTGATGCTAGAGGGTAAGAACTCAGCCCTATGCCACCCAGGCTGTGTCCACCAGCCTGTCTCTTCCCTGGAGACCCCATTACTCATACTTGATCTACTGGTATCACCCGCCCCCCCTTCAATATGGCCTGGGGCTGTGGGCAAGGACTGCACTAGTTGTCCGGGAAGTGGGGAACCCTTGAACACCAAGAGCAACCTTGACAGGTGCCAACAGTGGTGTACTGAGGGTGGAGTTACTTTAGGAAAAGTGGACACCGACCAGACGAAGGAGTCTGAGGCATATGGTAAGGGTGGCCAAGAAGCCACCACCTCAAGCAGGCCCGAGGCAGAGAGCAGCTTATCAGGTCACTGGTGGTCATCCAGCTGCTGTAGGAGTGTCCGCCGCCGCCTCTCTAGCTCCCCCTCACTCAGCTCGCTTTCTGACGTGTCCCAGCCTGTCTGTTGGAGCAGAGGCATGGCTCACCCAAGCCCCCTGGACAGAGTGCTGCCTGGCTGGGGCTGGGCCCCTGCCTCTGCCTCTCACCTTCTCCTTCTTGACTCCAAAGCCTGGGGAGCGATTAGGGAGCTCTGCCTGCCGAAGGTCCCTATCCTTGTCTTGTTCTTGTTCTTTCTCTTCACTCTCCTTGCCAGCTTTCTCCTCGGGGTCTGTCTCACTCTCAGGGCTGTTCTGTAAAAGTCCAGAGCCCAACTCCTCAGCTTCTGTGGACAGCTGGGAGGTAGGTGGAACAGATCCCACAAAATAGCAAGGTCTTAAGCAGAGTTCCTTCTCTACTCACCGACTTGTGTCTTCTCTTTTTAGTTTTCTTTTTTGGTTTCTTGGCTTTCCGAAGGCCATGATCTGGAGATAAAAAATTCCTACTAACTCCCATAGGGAAAAAGGAGAGCTCAGTCTCTTCTCTGCCACAGCCCTCTATGTTCATTCTTTGTAGACCTGGGCCTTGTGGTTTGAGAAAGGTTGAATCTAGTTTTCCTTCCTTCTCCTGGTTTCCTGTCTAGGCAGGAACAGGAAGTTCTTCCCATCCTCACAGATCAGCCCTCCTAATCCACTCCACCCTCAAGGGTGCTAGAGCTTGCTGAGTTCCTCCTCTTAATCATCATCCACAGTTTTCCATCTTCCAGCATCTGCTTACCTGATCCAAGAAGAAGGTGGGAGGATGGGGAGCCCCGTCCTCCAAGGGCAACACCCCCACTTTCAACTGAATCAAGTGAGGATGAGGGATCAGAGGCAGACTCTGAGAGGTTTCGCCTCCTCCGCTTGGGGGGCCGGAGGGATGGTGGGGGCAGCTCCTCCTCTTCCGACTCGGAGCCCTGGGCACATAAACAGATATCGGTTAATGCAGAGGTTCTCTGGCCTCTAGAGCTCTTGTCTGTGAATTGGGGATAGAGAAGAGGATCCAGAATTCCAAAAAGAATCCTCAAATTTCCTTCCAATGGAGGTGACATAGGGAAAAACAAGAAGTGTCGAGTACCCCAAAATAATCCAGCCTCACCCCCACATCCCTCTACCTGCCAACTCACAGAGGGTGAGTGGGAACGCTTGTGATGGTGTTTCTTGCCCTTCCTGCCATGCTTTCGGCCTTTGGTGTGGAGGTGCTGGCATTCAGTCTGCTAGAAGCAGAGGAAGAAAGGTGAGGACTATGCCTCCCTGTCTTAGGTTAGGGCCTTTTGCCTATCCCAGGTCTCCCTTAGGCTTCTCCATCCTTAGCTGTCCAGGGAAAGGAGAGACCTAGGATAGGATGCGAGGCCACTGAGGTCTCTGATGAACAGGCCTAGGGAATTCAAGCACTTATGACAGATCCAAAGGGTAAGAGCCTGACTCACCTCCAGCACCTGCAGGAACTCCCGGAAGAGCCGGATCCTTTCCGACTCTAGGGTGATCTGCTCAAAGGCTGAGTCGCACACAAAGCGCTCACGGACCTTGAACGGGGAGAGCACTGCTGATCAGACCAGGCTCCACCCAGCCGGGCTTGAACACCTCCACAGCATAGGGCAGGGCGGGGGCAGAGGAAGGAAGGGAACTGGAGCCGGCCCAGGGCTGTGCTGTGACTGGGGTGGGCCCTCAGTGGTGGAGAAACTCCGCTGCCCTCAGGCTTGAGGGGTGACTGGGGCCAGGCTGCGCTCCTGACCTCTTCCCACGCAGTGCCCAGCTCCAGAGCAGGCACGGCCTGCCTCAGCATGCTTCGAAAGGCAGCTTCTCTGCGCCGCATCCTTCGTGCCTCCTCCTTTTCCCGCTCCCTCTCCCGTGCCTCTGCCTTCTCCAGCAGCTGAAGACAGAGATGCAGAACAAGGTCACCCAGAAGGGTGAGTGCCCAGGGCCCACTCAGGCATACCTTAAGAGGTAGAAAGTTGGGGTCTGGCCTTCTGTCATGATCCCCTGAACCCAGGACAGTCAGTAGGACAAGAGTGAAAAGGGAAGGAGTAAGACAATGGGATGAGTAAAAAAAATCCAAGACCCACCCCACCCTGCCCCTCACACTATTGAAGGTCAGCTTGATGTTGCCTGCGTCCAGCGCAGCAGCCCTCTTGTCAAAGCTTATGACGTGGGCGAAGTCTTCAAATGCTGTTTTCACCTCCACGCAGAAGCCCCGGTCCTGTAGGCACAGCAACACATGAAGCAGGGGGCACCACAGGCCTGAGGCCTAAGGCTGACAGGCATAGGAATCAGACCAGAGGATGTTCAAAAAGCCCGTCCTCAAGAGGATCCACACAACTGTGCCACACTTCAGAAACCACACTGTTTTAAGTCATCATCTGACAAGCTCCCATGCCTATCCCTGGTCTGGTTGTCACATGGAGCTAAAGAGCTGGCGATGTCTCTGTGTTTGCTGAGTGATGCCTAAAGTTCTCACAATTAGCTCTTTGTTCCTTTGGCTTATAGCTCTGGTCCCAGTTAGATCTTCCTATTGCTCAGGGAAGTTTCATGAATTCTCAATCAACATCTGCTGGTCTCTATGTTTTGGTTCCAGTTATTGAATGCCTGTTATGTACCAGATACCCTCTGTGAGTGCTTCACACACATTTAATCCTCCTGGTTATTACATTATAATTTTACATAGGAGAAATGAGAGCACCTGCTCAAGATCTCATAGGTGAACCTATGGCTGGGAAAGAACATTACCCCAGGTCTTTCTAGCAGAAATGGAGGCCATCAGGTGAGCAACTCCCCAGCAATGTTAGAAACATGCCCCATTTTCTGGCACCATGGCCAGGCTCTGTACTTATCACCACAGCCTCATATCCCAAAGAGACAGAGGCTTAGAATGATTCATTTGGCCCAAGACAACGCAAGTGATGTGGCCACTAGGGCTCAAGTCAGCAGGGACACAGCCATATTCCCTACTCTCACTCTACATCTACACAGCTCTTAACTTCCTCTGATCTACCTGCTGAGGGAGGAGGTTTGCTCTTCGTTCTCTCTACAAGTACTTCCTCAGCTCACACTTCTCCAACCCTTCTCAAATACATTCACTCTTTCTTAGGGAAGTGAAGGCTTCAATATCATCCGTACTGGCTCCTTCCATCAAGCACACATCTCACTTTACCTGTAACATCCCTTCCATCCTGCTCTCACTTAACTACCCCTGCTTTTCTTTAATTTCAAAATCTCTTAAAATGCAGCATAAAGGGAAAGGAATAAACATTGACAGCCTGTTATAGACAAGATGTTTTACAAATGTTATTTACGTTTTACAAATGTTATTTTAATTCTCATGGTCTTGCAAATGGATTATCCCTACTTTTACAGAAAAGGAAATTGAAGCTCAGAAGTACTACATAACTTGCAGACGTCTCAGCCAATAAGAGCCAGGAGTTACTTGACTCTGAAACATGTTGTCCCAAAGCCACTGGCTTCATGGTCACACTCTCCCAAGTCACTCATGTTGTAATAGTCAAATTCAAGGGTTCCTGTTCAGTCCTCATTCATCTGGTCCTTGGTGCTTCTGCTGTTTACTTCTTCAACACTACCCTCCTTCTTTAGGTCCCTCCTATACCTACCTCTTGTCACCTCTTTTATATGTGTACAATCCTAATAATAGCAGTTTATCCTTTTTTCACGAGCCACTCACAGCCTTGTAGATTCAAACAGCAAGTCTTTATTCCCGACCTCTCACCCGCACTCTACACACACGTTCTGGGGAAAATCCACCTCCACTCAGCTCTGCATCCCAAAATACTCTCTGAATCCCGCGAGAACTCAACGGGAACTCCAGGAGCGGGCAGGCGCCTGAGGCAGCAGGATACTCCCTATTCCCAGCAGGATACACCCTAAACCTGGACCCACCCTAATCTAGCAGGATCCTCCCTAAACCCGGATCCAAGGCAAGCCCATTTCCACAATGGAGAGTCCTCCCTCTAAGCAACATTGGGTAGGCTGACAAAGAAATTGCCATGCGTCATTCCTACTTGGCAATGGCTCTCAGCACACTACCTGATTTATACTTTCCCTGACAACCTCATCCTTCACCTCTCGCTGATTTTCAGACCCATACGAGACTGTATATTTCACAGATACTTCAAATTCAACAGATCCTAAGATATATGCTCCCTTGGGATATGCTCGCATATGCTCCTCACCTCCAAGCTCTTAGTGATCTCCCACAGGCCCAGCCATCTACCTCCAATTATCTACCTGTTCCAAGTCCAGGCCCTGTGTTATCCTACAGATGAGAGAGGCCACCATAATTCACCTGGCTGTGGATGGCCACAGAAAACTCCTGAGCTCATTTGTCTTCTAAAAGCAGTAGCCCCCATGGAGGAACAGGAAGAGGAGCTATCTAAAACAGCTTATTTCTCAGGTGCTGTGGAAAGACAGAACTTAGCAAGGGCAGGAGCCGTGCAGAACAATTGTCAGTATCAGCCACTCTGGCTAAAAGTTAACCAGGCAAAAAATTAACTATATCGGGATATTAGTTTATATAACTATCCTATTTAAAATACAGTATTTGCTTTATTCTTCCTTGCTCCAGGTTGCTTTTGAGAATAATTCCCCTAATGGAATTCCTACTGTAATCCTGCTCTTCCTGCTTATTCCTTACTAATGGTGACATCATTCATGGCCCCATCCCTGCACCTCCTCCTTTTCCCTCAAGTTTATAAAACAACCTGGCAATTCCACTTTTCAGTGACTCTATCACACTGTTTTTAAACTTTTCAAACAGAAACTTTTTTTTTTTCAATAAAAATCATATGTAGCATCTCAATGTATTAAAGAGATGCAAGCTCCTCCATTCAAAAACAGAGGAAGAAGTATAGAATCCCCAGATACTAAACCTCCACCCCTTGCTTTTCTCAAGGTGCCTATGGCAGCTCAAGCCCAGCTGGATTCATACAGCTCATTCTCCTCATGTGCCATCCCTACTGCCTTGCCTGGAGATCACCACCAACCTAGACCCTGAGAAGGCCAGCTGACTGGTCTCCCTGTCTTCATTCCTCCTTCCTTCATTCCTAACCCAGCCTCTGGCATTTAGTACTGCTCTGACTTTGGTACCAAGTAGCCTTGGTATCAGAGAAGAGGCCTGGGGATGAATCAGAGGATGACTAAAACTTAAAAAGTATCTGAATTACTTGCCACTGTCACTTGAGGTTTCTACCACTGTCTCCACCACTAATATCTCCCCTAGTGACATAAACACTCCAGACTGGGAGATGCTACCACACACTATCACCAATGGCTTTTCCAAGATGCCATATGATATTACTTACAAGATAAAAATCCAAATTTCTTATTTTAGCATTCAAGACACTTTACATGCAGGGCTTTACTTCCACACAGGGCATATGGTTCCGGAGAAACAGAGGAAGTCACAGGACAATATGATACATCTTACCTAATAGTAACTTAAAAATATTAAATTCATATTAAATAGGAAGGTGATGTGGGATTAAAATGCAGCATGTGCATGAGTTTGTAAGGTAAAACAAAGGACTTCAAAGAAACTTCATAGGGCTGAGGATGTACTCAGTGGTAAAGCGCTTACCTAGCATGTGCTAGGCCCTGGGTTCAAGCCCCAGTACCCACCCCCCCACAAAAAAAAGGTGGTTATGTGCAATGGTACTATTTTATTAACTTTATTCCTAAGTCCTTCTCAACTCAGACACCAAGTTAATCTCACCTGTAATTAGGTGTCCTTTGGTAGAACACTCACCATTTTTTAAATAAGGAAACCAAGGCTCAGAAAGGTTAAATGGCCTAGTCAAGGTCACATATTAGTAAGGGATTAATCTGGACTGTTAGCCCAGTCTGCCTCAGGTTCTGCTTCTAACCACTGGACTGGACTGAACTATCTCCTCAAATGCACTGGAATGTTCTTCACTTCCAAAGGAAAAATGCTTTCTTTTTTTCTTTTGAAACATTAAAGTCTCTTCACTTGCATAATTACCCATCTTTTCTAACTGTGACAGACATGGGCACTATTTCTTCAGTATAAAGAAAGTGGCAGTGCACATGGGATGGTACATGGCAGCTGATACTCAATGCAGTATTAAGAAGGCATGAAGGAGTAGTGAGGCAAAGAACAACGTGCCCTTTCTGAGAAGGCAATGGCATCTCAGTCTGATTCCACAGAATGCCTCACAAAACCAGCCCAGTGCTGCCTGTCTTTTATGTTAAATCTTCCAATTTAAAAATGTTAATAATGAATTCCAAATTTTTCTAAACCACCATGCTGGTCAGAAAGCATATTTCTATTGCCTATTAATTTATAATTATCTATACTTTTTGCTCCTCAAACTCACCATACACTTTCCACCCACCTGCCTTTTTATGCCTAGGACATTCTGCCCTCCTCTACTCCTTTATAAAAGTGCAGTTCAAATGACAATTCTTCTAATTAATCTCTGTAATAACACCTGCTCCCCTGCATAACTGTTCTCATGTCTATCTTTGTTTAGTACCATGAGTTCCTATGAGCAGAAATCATGTCTATTCATTACTATATCCCAATTCAAGGTAGAGAACCACAGTAGATATCTGCTGAACAAGCTGCTACACTCTTGCAAAATGGGACTCATCAGGGAATCTGTGCAGGGACTCTGTGGCTTGCACATAGCCTGTGTTCATCCATAACCCCAGGTTCCCCTCACCTTAAGAATGTCCTTAATGATCTTCTTCTCATCATGAAATCGTGCCTTCAACTCTTCCACATAGAACTTGAACAAGTCCAGAGGGGTAGAGCCTGCAGGGAGGGAGGGAGGGGGGGCCTGGCGGGCGGCAGCTTCCCAAGGCCTGGGGTGGGGTCGAGGACAGGACCAGGGAGTGGGAATGCAGAGGCGTCAGGGCAGGAAGCCAGACCAGAGAAGGGGGAGCCTGGCTGCCTTACCCGGCTGGCCCAGCATGTTGGCAAAGCGGACATCAGTGCTGACTGCTGGGTACAGCTCCATCCAGGTGGACATGGAGTGCAGCTGCCCTGTCTCGTGCAGCTCGTCCAGGAAGGTCTAAGCAAGGAGAGGCCAGGGATAGGGAAAGTGAGATAGGAAGGAAGAAAGGGAATGGCAGAGGGAAAGGCAGGGGCAATCCAGACTCCGGAAATCCAGGCAAGGGAGGCAGAGAGGAGATACAGATGTAGAGGAAGAGAACACTACTAAAAGAAGAGAATATAAATATGGAGGGACAGCGAAAAATGAAAACAAGCCAGCCTGGGAGGCAGCACCATCTTCCATGACTTGGTTGCAACTTTCTTTTGTGATCCAATCCAACTAAATCATCCCCATACTGCAACCCTTAAGCTGGAGGATAATCTCTACCTGTCTGCTCCCCACCCAAAGGAAATGCACATGGCCTAGCTGCCACACTGCCTGCAGGGTGCTCTCTGCTGGTGGCTTCTGGGAGGTACATACATCTGGTCTCCCTAGAGGAGCACAGTCCAGAGTTGAAGGGACACAGCAGGGAGCAGAACTGGAGGCAGAGAGAAGCCTTGTGAAGCTTGGTCAAAAGAGGGACAAAGCAGGCAGCCTAGCCCAAAGCAGGCAGGGCATGGGTAGAAGTTACTGTCTGGGGTAGAGCTGAGCTCTAATCCCAAGGGCAGCAAAAATACCTGGAAAGCCTCCCGGTTCTTGCGCTGCTGGCGCCGTTCCCGAAGTCGGGCCCGTTCCCGCTCTTCCTCCTCCTCCCTCTCCAAAGCTCGGATGTGCTCTTCAAAGCAGATCAGGGCATCTTCCTTGTCCATGTCTATAGGTAGGAAGGAGGCTCAGCAGATGCCATAGTAGCAGGATACCCTCTCAGATTCAGTACCCAGTGTCTCAAGGTTGATGTTCCTGTGGGTACTGGGGACACTCAGGTTAGTGGGGAAAGCAGAGAAAAGGATTCTGTGGGAGTAGCTACTTCAACGGCAGTTCTTGAGGGAGATCATTCATTGCATTAGAAAAAAATCAGCAAGTTTTCAGCCCTGATGTGATTTCTGGTGTGAGTTACTAGAAGCCATCCCATGAAACCCGTTTTCTCAGGATCTGAGGTTTCACATCATAGGGAAGCAAAGTCAATCAGGCTTTGATGTAACTTCCGAAAATAATTTGTCATATCATCAGTGATCACAGGTCAGCAACTGTTTATTGTAGCATCCGTGACCAGTTAATGCCCTGATGCTATGACAATTTAAGACTACAGTCACATAAACTACAAATATGATCATCATCTCCAGGAAAGGGAGGCAGAGAGGAGGAGATACAGATATAGAGGAAAAGAACACTGATTCCTATATCCCAGAGCTCTTCCTCCAAGAACACACAATGTCCAGGCCAACAGTGAACTCCAGAGGGAGGGAGAGGATATCTAGTGACTTGAGTATTGGAGACTTCTAGAATGAGCAGGAGGTGCAACGGAGTGGTGGTATGAGGCAAGCTCTGGGATCCCAAGTCATGTAAAAAGGGGAAGGGTCAGGTGGGAGTGGAGACTCAAGCTTACTTTGCAGTTGATGGTCCTGAGCAAAACTGGGGTTATCCATGAGGTATTGTTGTGCCTGGGACCATGTGGTCTGGAAGTTGACACTACTCATTCCATCCAGGATGCTCTTCAGGGCCTGAATATTTCGGCGCCGGAGCTGCTTGGCCTGTTCCTGGGGAGCCACAGGATCAAGATGAGGCTAGGCAAGCCAGAGCTACCCAAGTGGGCCTGGCAGAGGAGAATTCGGGAAAGGGAGTATCTCAAGAACCCTAGGAGGAGGACTAGACTTTCATGTCCCCAGGTAGGGGAGGAACCAACCTGTCCAATTCCTCCTCACCCTCCCAGACCCAAGACTACAGGCTCAGGGCAGAAATGGGGGGACATATAAGTGTCACATCAGCTTCCAAGTCAGGAGCTGGGACATTGGGGAGTAGAGAAATAAATGGCCAGAGTCCATAAAAGAGCAAAGACAAGGAAGGTCCAAGATATTATTGGGTCTGAAGGATCTGGCCCAATGACCATTTACCTTTTCCTTCTTGGCCAGGAAGAAGAGGACATCATCATAAACCTCTTTTCGATCCCTCTCAGGGACCACAGCCCAGACCTCCAGTTCCCCAAAGGTCTGTTCTGCCCGCCTGTGGAGCACATGGGCTGTGAGTAGATAGGCAGAGAGCAGATCACTGAGCCTTTGTGTTCTCCGGGTTCCCAAGCCCCAGCCCAGCCCAGCCCCCTAACCGGTAGCGGGTGGTGGAGGTCATGCGTTCATGCTGTTCCAGGAAATGCTGTAAGGTCTGCTTGGCCTCCTTGGCCCTTAGCCGGGCCTCTTCCTTCTCCTCCTTCTCCCGCTGTGCCTTGTAAGCATTGAATGCCTGCTTTTTCTCACTTAGTTTGGGCAAGGCACTAGGGTACAAATGGCAAGAATGGAGTGGAAACAAAAGAGTCTACTTGAACCATCCTCTATAGCCCACAAAGTAGGATCATAGGACACTGGGGGTCTCCACAGAGCTGAATGGGGGGCAGGGCATGTAAGGGCTCAGCCTACAGATGTGAGGGATATGGGCAGGAGTGAGGTAATAAGGGGAAGAGACACAACCCCCAGACACTGCTAACACTAGGCCCTTTTGCTTTGGTGTTCTCAAGTTGCTATCAGACCTCTGCCCTACTCAGGTCCTTCTTTCCCCAATTAATTCAATTCGATTCAATTTAATCCAATAAGCATTTATTGAATGTCTCATGTCAGATACCTTTCCATTTTCTTGTCCTAGCTTTTCCTCCCCTTGCTCTCCAATCTGGTCTGTCACTTTCCTAACTCCAGACCCCTTGAGCCTGATCTTGCGTTGGGGCTTCTCAGGGAATTCCTGGTCTGGCTGCTCTCACGAACATGGCCTGGCTCCCTCTGCCCAGGCCTACCTGTATCGGGGATCTGTGACTACCATCTTCATGGCCTGTTCCCATGAGGCATTGGAGGGGACAGCCTGGAATAGAGTAAGTAGGGGTCATGGGGCCTGCCCACCTCCAGATTCCTCCTTCCAGGTCTTCCTCCAGGAGCCCCACCCTCAGCACCTTGTCCCTCAGCAGTTCCTTGAATGCCTGCTTTGCCTTCTCTCGGTTGCTCCAACTGAGGCCAGACCTCTCTGGTTCTGGCTTGGATTCCTCCTCCTCTTGCTGTGTTAGCTGATGCTGTCCAGCAGAACTGGGGGGCAGAGGGGACTCAGCCACAGGGTACCCAGCCCTCACTGCTTTCAGTGTGCTGTACTCTCAGCAACATTTTACCCTCCTTGCTTCCCACAGTAGCCACTTTCTTCCCTTCAGAGGTCATTGCCCAGATCTTTATACCCCTCCCAAGAGGCCTGGCAGAGAATGAAGAATGAACCACGATAAAAGCCTGAGGCTAACATCTGGAATGCTGTTGGGGGCAGCCCTCACCTGCTGGGGCCCTCCTCTGGCTGCTGCAGAAACCCCTGCTCCAGGGGCTGGGCAGCCTCCGACACATCACAATCTTCACTCCCACCTGGCTCAGGTTCCAGGAGGCCCTTGGGCATTGGAGTGGGGCCAGGAGGTGCAGGTGGGGGGTCAGGCTGAGGCTGAGGTGGCTGTGGCTGTGGTGTCTGCGGCTGTTGCATTTTTCTGTAGATAAGCCAAAATAGTGGTGTTGGAGCAGAGCAGGGATAGAGAAGGGCAGGTGCTTGCTGGCATCTTTACTCCGGGAAGGACTGGGGCCAGAGCAAATGACCTCACAAGGAGACTAAGAGCTGATTCCTCTCACAGAGTAGGGATACTGCAGAATTCATTCCCACCTCCCAAGTATGAATGGATAGGTGGGTGAGTCACTCACCCTGCAGCCTCTTGTTTGACTAGAGCTGCAATGGGAAAAGAACACAGTCAGAGTAGCAAAGGACCCCCACCACCTTGCCCAGACCTCCCCTTCCACCCAGGACCCCTCACCCTCCAGGTCATCCAGGTCCTTGGGCCGGGTCCAGCAGGACTCCTGACTCTGGTTATTATAGTAGTAAGGTTTGCCTGTGTCTGACTTGTACTCTTTCCAGGGACACTGAGACAGCAGCAGCTGCAAGAGGATGGGTCAAAGGATATCAGTAGGCTGGGGAGCTCTCTGGTCACAAGGGAGCTAATAAGACCCAGTGAATAGAGGACACAGTAGTCTTGAGCTACCATCTAACCTGGCTCAAATGGGGGAACATGGACTTCCTAAGATCCTAGGGAGGTATTTCTAGGGAGCATGGGGGTGGGCCAGGCAGCTTGGGACCTCTAATTATAATTAGTCAGAGATTCAGGGAAAGGACTTGGAAGGGTCAGGGCAGCTGAAAGGAAGGGCCACAAAGCCCCACTCAGGACCTCCGCCTTGGACTTGAGCACGCTGGGCTTCTCCCACACGGACTGCTTGTCATCAGCATTGTAGTAGTAGATGCGCCCATCAGGGGCCACATGCTCACTCCATAGGGCCCTCTGGGAGGAGGGGGGCACAGAATGGTGGTCAAGGCTCCTTTCCCAAAGCCTCTTCTTCTCACCCCAAAGATTTAAATACCAACCTCCCATTTTCAGCTTTCTTACCCAGAGACTCAAGCTAGAAACTCACCGGAGGGCCTGTCCCAGCCACAGCAGCTAGAAAAGAAGCCAAAGGAAATGTACTAAGTTTTTGTTTAAACCCCCATCTTATCCCCACTTATCCTCCCTTATTCCATCCCCAGTAAATATCTCCCTGGTCCCATCAACATCCCAGGCTCCCTGGCATCCCAACAGGCATGATCCAGGGTGGGTTCCAGTCCATGGCCCCTCTCCCCTATACCCCCCAACCTCCGAGCCTGGGGGGAGCAGGCCCCCAGAAGACTCACAGCTGGCGGTGTCCGCACCCGGAGCCGTCTGCCGAAGAAAGAGGAGGGGGAAGGGTTGGGGCCAAGCCCAGTGGCCCCCAGGACCCAGGCCATGGGGGATGGAGAAGCAGGCCAGGCCAGGATCTGTGTGTCCTGCTCCCAGGGATTTCTCCTCCCTAACAGATCCCCTCCCTCCTGCCAGGGCCATGGCTCTCAGATCCCAGGGGGAATTGCACAACAGCTCCTTTCTTCATTGTCCTCAAGTCAGAGTATTTTGAGTCAACTTCAACTCCTGAGGCCCATCTCTTCAAAGTAGATGCCAAATTCTATATCCCACTCAGACTCTACTCTACTGAGCACAAGAAGGTTTAGCGAGATCCCTGGGTGCCACTGCCTCCTCCAGAAGCAAAGAGCATGTGAAGAAAGGACTGTATTAGTGTGTCCATAGTGCATGGCCATGTGATGGAAAGAAGTGTCTGGTATGAGTGTGCTCCTGAAAGGTGCTGTGTGTGCACAGAGGTAACAAAGAATATATATGCCTTTGGGGACGATCGGGAAACTAGAATTGCTGAGTACGCAGCTGGGGAGGAAGATTCCAGCATGGGGAATGCTGCTGGGGACCAGGGTGGATATAAGAAGAGGGAAAGAAGTGGAGTCCACGCCCTTGTACTCCAAGTCAGACCCACAGAATTGCAAGGTACAGCCTGCTTCTTGCCAGCCCCTAGAGCTTACCGCGGCAGTGACAGGCACTGCTGGCATCAGCATTCCTGGCATCATCGGAGGTACCATTCCTGGTATCTATGGGTATAAAACCAGCCACTGAGGTTAGGGCAGGTGGATAGTGTCCCTTTCAGTTGGGGGTCCTAACAGATCCCACTGAGGTGGCCCAGGCAATCCTCAGGTTCTGGGTTTTCACCTTTCCTAAGAGTTGTCTCAGTCATTCAGCAGACAAATCCACATGGGCCTGGATCAAAGATCGTTTCTCTTCCCAGTTTCTGAAGTCTGAGTACCTCTCATTTCCACCCCCAATTAAACAAACAGGGTTTCCTGAGGCCCTCTGGAGGGAGACAATTACCTGTGTGAGTGGTGGTGGTGCCCCCATCGGTGGAAGCATTGGGGGCAAGATGCCAGGTGGCATGGGGGGGATGGCTGGTGGTCTCTGACTCATGGGTGGGAGCCCCATCGGAGGAAAGGGTGGGGGGATCCCTGGAGGGGGCATCTGGAAGTGAGGAAAGGAAGAAATATTGAACAGAGGAACACTGCCTTGCTAGGGACAGAGAAGACCCATCAGGAAGCATCCACCTGTTGTCCACCCAGCCCTCCACCCTGGCTTGGAAGTATTCCAAGGCTTTCATTTGAGAAGCACAAGGCATGAAACTGCCTCCCTCCTCACCACTGAGAAAGACAGGTAACTGGGGAGTTCTCTGGGTTTAACAGGCAAGCACACAGCTTCCTAAGAGGCAGGAAAAGGAAAGGGAACTGAAACAGCACCAGACTGGGGGAAGGCTATAACCCTTCAGCACTGCTCCCCAAGAAGCCTCTCGTGTGAAGGGCGGAAGGCAGCCATCCCCAGTTCTTCTGCCTCCCCTTTTTCTCTGACTCTACCAATGCAATTCCAGCCCAAATTCTGTGGCTTTTTTAAAAAGAGCACAGGTAAGGAGTAGTGAAAGAGAAAGACAGACCCACCCTGCGCTCACTCTAACGGAGTCTTTTCTCTTCCACTTCTACTTCCAGCCCCAGTGTGTCCCAGGGACAAAAGGACAAAGGGGGAACTGTCACCTTTTCGGACTAGAGCTTAACAGTAGCTCTCCCCACCCCAATGCCCAGACAAAACCACCCCTCTTCCAAGGGCAGCAAAAAGGTGCATTACAGGAGAACCGTGCTGGCGATGCAGCAGTGGCAAGGGCTGGGGAGTTGAGGGTGCAGGCTGGAAAAGCCAAGCCCAGGGAAACACATAAAACTTACGAAGGGTGGTGGCATCATGGGGGGCCCCGGTGGGAAGGGGGCAGGCGCTGCTGGGGGCCGGGGACCAGAATCGGGAACCGACTGTTGAGGGAGAGAAAAGTCATAGGACCCAGGATGGGCAGAGAGATGGGCTTTTGCAGAAGGGAAGCAGAAAGGGTAAAGTTGAAAAAGGAACACAAAGTTCAGATGGGGTCTCCAAGCCCAAATTCCTACCCACCCAAAGTTCTGAGTCCTGGGAAGGTCTGTTTTTTCTGTGCCAGTCTAGAGCCAGCTGGCTGAGACCTTCAATGTCATCTTTATTTTGGGAGTTTCCATTTTGCCAAAGCCACAGAAAAGAGAGAAGACTCCACTATAGGCATCCAGCTTTTCCCATGGCTTTTAACCATTTTCCTGCCAGTGGCAAGGCCTCTCTCAAGGCAGCGGCCTCTTTTTCTATTCCTCTACTTCCATTAACCCAGTTAGAGAGTCAATCCAAAGTTCTCTAAACACAAACAGTTGTCAGCCTTTTACAGTTCTAGTCTAACACACCTCTTTTCACTCCAGCTTCCTCCCCTAACTAATCTCATCTTCAGTCTTCTGCTTTGGCCATCTTTCAATTCCAATCAATAACTTCATCTCTTTGTACCATCCCCATACCCTATCTGATAGACACCTTTCTTTTATAAATCCTGAACTCATCTCACTGTGGATAAAGTCTATGAACAGCCTAAATCTCCCTGTTCTACACCTAATGGCAAACCACATCCCACCCTTTAGTTCTCGGCTTAAATATCATTATTCCAAGAAGGCTTCCTGACTATATTTAAAGTAATTCCTTCCAATTTATTCTGATCCCCCCTTTTTTAGTATCCTTGATTTTTTATTATGTTTGCTGGCATAGGTGTTTTCCCCACTAGAGAGTAATAACATTCCATGAGGGCGGGATCACATCTGATTTGTTGAAAGCTGGATTCCTGGTAGCCAACACAGTGTCTGGCACATAATATGTACTCGATAAATACTGAATGAATGAAAGAACAAATAATACAACAAATCTTCTCTATACAGAACCTTAATATTCTAAAATGACATCCTATACTTAAAGCTGCACATGGCCAAAATAATATGTACACATGATTTTCATTTCAGTATTAGTCATAAAAATAGAAAATCATAATCAGTCTAAATATCCAATAGTAATGAACCAAGAAACCAAACACAATGTAAAATGGAATGCTATGCAGTTATAAAGAACACACTCAACTGTCTCCTTACAGACCAATCTCTAAGATGTATTACAAGTGGAAAAAGGAAAGGTACACTAAAGTTTTATCATTTGTATATAAGCAATAAAGGGTGACACATAAGACAATGGTGGAAGGAGGAAAGAGGTGGAAGGAAGACTTTTCAATGTATGCCTTTTTTGTATTAAAAAATTTTTTTTTAATTGTACTTGGACATACTACCTTTATTTTATTTATTTACTTTTATGGGGTGCTAAAGATTGAACCCAGGGCCTTACACATACTAGGTGAGCACTCTACCACTGAGCCACAACCCCAGCCTGCTTTTTGTACTTTTTGAATATGCGATCATAGGACTATATGACCCATTCAAAACATTTTTGAGTGAACTAAGGTTTGGAGGTACAGCTAAAAGGCCTATCTTCCTTCCTTTCCACTTGAAAGTTGGAGAGCTCTAGGGAAAGGTGGTAGTTGGATAAACAGAAGCAACCTCACCACTACCTATGCTAAAAGGCTCACATTTAAAATGCTTTCTAGGGCTGGGGTTGTGGCTAAGTGGCAGAGCACTTGCCTCACACATGTGAGGCACTGGGTTTGATCCTCAATACCACATAAAAAAATAAAAATATTGTGTCCACCTATAACTAAAAAATATTTTTAAAAAATGTTTTCTGATCTCTTCTTTTAGCAAATATCTATCCTTTACCATGTCCTAAGAAGAGAATGAAATGAGCTAAGCTACTCCAGTCTGACTCACCTTTTCTGTGTTCAGCTACTTTAGCCCTGTACTTACCCCTTCAAACTTTCCTCAGCATGGATGTCAGAAACTATCCAACATGGGAAGCAATTTGATTTTCTGTATCTCTCTCCCACCTCAAGCTGCCTTAGGAACCTAACCTTCCAGATAACCATTTTTAGGTCTTACCTAGCTCAGGGCCTGTGAGGTTATAAGAGGTCTACTGCCAATCACACTGTCAGCCTCATCCATGTCCAGGTCTGTGCTCACCATACTCAACCATATTTACTTCTTAGTTCGCCCACCTCAGGGATCTTACCTGTAGCTGGGACAACACTACCAACTTACCTAGATACACTTCACACTGTGCCATCCCCCTTGATAGCCATTTCCTGGGAAAGCCTTTACTAACCTACTATACTAATCAGAGCCCTTATTTATATACTCATTGAATACCATATGCCTTCCCTTTAGCAACTGTCCATTGGAAATTTAGTTATTTGGGCAATTTTGATGGTACTAGTATCTTATAAGACACTAATAAAAAAGAAATGCTGCCTATTATGATAACCCATTTCAGACACATCCTGACTTCAAAAATATTGAGTCCTGGAATCAATGAAATATGCTAAGTGCACATCAATCCCATTAACTTGGGAAAGTGAAACAGTAGGATCAAAAGTTCTAGGGTGGCCTCACCAATTTAGTGAGGTCTTAAGCAACTTAGCAAGAACCTGTCTCAAAATTAAAAAAAAAAAAAAAAAGAAAAAAGAAAAGAAAAAAAAGAAATTAATAAGATATAATGTCTGTAGTCCCCACCCAAAACCCTGAGGGACAGGGGTAGGTGCTAATATTAATTGGCTTAACAACTGAATGGTCTTTCCACCAAATAGCAGGGATCATTGGTAAGGCCTAGGAGTTATTGAGGGAACACAAGAATGTCAGTGGTGGAAGGGACTTCAGCAGAGAGGACTACTCAAGGTAGTCCTCTCTTTTCATATGAAAAAGAAAAGGGAGAGTAATATCCAAGGTCCCATGACTAGTTAGGGAGGAACCAGGACTGCCCTCTAGCCTGTCTTCCTTAAAAGCACAGCTCCTGCCATAGAAAGCATCTGTTTTTCCACTAATCTCCCCTGCAACCTAAGTGGTTAAATCAGCAAGGAGCCAAGATTTTTTTTTTTTTGCTTTCTCTTAGAGTAGTTTCTTATAATTTAATCTACAAAATCTCTAACATTCAAAACCTTTCAATAGGGGCTGGGGCTCCGTGGTAGAGCGCTCGCCTGGCACCACATACAAAGTAAACAAAAAAAAGGTCATTGTCTCCACCTACAAGTAAAACAAATAAATAAATAAGTGTGTGGTGTATGTATATGTGTGAGTGTGTATATATATATCAAACCTTTCGGTAAAGCCCATCTCATCCCATACCCTTGGCTCATCCTGACTCAATGGCTTTCCTCCTCTTCACATAGGAATTGTTAGATTACTTTCATGTATTTTTTTTTTATTCTGTTTTGTCTATTTCTTTGTTCAGGATGATTCAATATTCACCTCCTTCAGGTTCCCTTTATACTATCCCCCACACATACACACATTCCTACCTATGTGTATCCCTCTGGGATAAATGCTGCACTTTGTAGCAGTGACATGCTGCTCTGTGCATGTTTGCTGAGTAATGTGGGACTAGCTCGCTCCTCACTCAGATGGGGATCTCCCTACATTTAGGAATCAAGTTTTCTCCTTTTAAACATTCCTTGAGTGCCTAATCCTTGCGCTGTACACAAAGTGTTGTGATAAAATTTAGTTTCATCCCTAACCTTATTAGATTTTTGCATACCTAAAAGTGTGCTGCAATTGTGTCCAGGTATGTTTGTATAAATTCCCAGTACATTCTCTGTTGTGAGAGAGAGAGAAGTATCTTGGCAGAAGTCTCTCTGGCTTAAGAAAAGCAAACTGGAATCAAGTACTGGCATGGGAAAATCTAAATAATAAAAATTGACTGTATATGACCACCTTCATCTTAAGATGAATAACTGTGGCAAGAATTCAGACACTGGCCTATTTTGGTCAGTTCCCTGCAGAGGATAGAACAAGGGAATGCATATAAATTACTATGGAATTCCCAAAGCTCACCCTTCCCAGAGATACCCCTGTGCAATGCATGTCCTTTCTTTCCTTAAACACCCGCCCCTCTTCCACTTGCTGCAATGGCAGCACAATTGTGGATCTGCTTGCATTTCTAGGTGAGACTATGAAAAAGATATTAGTTTAAGAGTTTTAAGAATGGGAGCTGAAAGAAGCAGATCCTGCATCTTCCCTGGAATAAAAACATACTTAGGGGCTGGGAAGAGATAATAAAGAAACACATGATCATCATGTGTCCACTTGGGCCAGATGAAGGACCCCTTTCCTAGATATGCCCCCAACAAAGATTTATCAGTTATTCTCAGCATTCATATTTGAGGGTATTCTTAGAACTGAGCACTCAGGAAAAAGAACAAAAAGAGAAAATGACAAAAATGAAGAGACAGAGAGAATGGAAAATGGGAATAACAACCATTAGCAGATAATCTTTACTGAGCACTATTATGGGCCAGATACTATGCCAAACACTCCATTTAATCCTCACAACCCCATCTAAGAGGTTTTTATGCCCATTTTATATGTAAAAAAGTGAGGTTCAGAGATTAAATTACTTACTTGACCAAGGTTTCAAGAGATTAAATGGCAGAGGCAGGTTTGGAATCCAAGCAGTCTGATTCCAAAGCCTGTGCTTTCAACCACTCCACAAAGCTGCCTCCAAGCAAGGAGGAGGGCACTACAGATGGTACTTCTTATTCTCAGATTCATCCCCTGTTTTCATATCACCCCAATCTTCATACACTCCTGAAATCCTCAGAGAGCCAAGGGATCCCAAGGTGCGCCTGGTCTGACTCATTCTCCCTCCCTGGAGGTGTTGGAAAAATGAAGACTGGGAGGCACATCTCTCAGAAAGAGGTAGCAGTCATCAAACAGAAACAGCTGAGGGCTGGGGTTGTAGCTCAGTGGTTTAGCATCTGCCTAACATGAATAGCCTTGGATTGGATTCCCAGCATTGTGTGGTGGCAAGGAGAGAAAAAGAAATAGCTAGAGACCAGCTGATTACCCTGAAGTTTATCTACCTGCTATCCTTCTTTAGCCACCCCCATAGAGCATTAACCTTTCCATTCCTGATCCAAGACATTCCCACTTGGCACTCTCCTGTACTAGCTCTACTGTTCCTCCTACTCTCCAAAGAGCCTGGGGGGTCTTTCTAGAAAATGTATTCCCTTGCTTCTTTGACTCCCTCATCACCTCCTCACTCTCCCTCTTTAGAACAGAATGTTACATCTGGTCCTAGTCTTTCTAGCGTCAGGGTTCAACCTCCTCTTCTTAAGACAGTTCTCCCATTCCTCCAACAGAATTCCAGAGGCCCTGGCTAGCGGGCTGAGCCTTGAAGGCTTTATGTCTCCCCTCCCCCACATCCCTGGGGATTTTCTCCAGCCCAGCTGAAGGCCTTGCCTCCTTCATGCTTCCTCACGTACTAGAACCCATTGGCCTTAATTTCATCCTCAAAAACTGCTCCATTTCGGAGCTGAAAGAGATCTGGGATACCATTTTCTTCTTTTTTTTTTTTTAATCAATGAGAAATCCGAGGCCTAAAGAAAGGTAGTGACTTGCCCAAGGTCACACAGAGTAGTTACAGTTTGCTGATGGCAGAGCCAGGGCTGGGACCAAGAGGCCTCTGCTCTTCAGCAGCACCACGGTGAGGGCCAGAAGCCCTCCTTACCTCAGGAGACAAGGTTTTGCAAATGCGGGGAAAGGAGGGAGTCCCCTAGCGGTTCTAAGGGGCACCCAGGGCTTCCAAAGGGAACAACCACTGGGACTGGGGGAGGGGAATGGGGCATGCCAAATAGCCCAGGAAAAGAAACTGTGGTCCCTACCTCTCCCCTAGTCCTGTGGTCTCCTCATCTCTCACCCTCTCTCTTCTTTCTCAACCTTTCTACCCAAACTCATCCTTCACTTATTTCCTCCCAACCCTCACCCAGTCCCGCAAGTCTCGTCCGCCTCAGCACCCGGCCGCACGCCCCCCCCGCCATGCTTCATCATGGCCTCCCCCTCCCCTTCTCCCCCAAATCCCCGCCTCCATCCCCTTCCTGGGCTCCTACCTCACCCCTTGCTCCCCTCGCATTCCCTTGGGGTCCTGGGGACCCCGGTTGACCTCCCCGCCCCCCCAGCCACGGCCCGGGCCGCAGGGGGCGCTGTGGGACCGCCCCGGGCCCCTCCACCCCCGCGCGGGGACGTTACCATGCCAGAGCCTCCGAGCAGCTGGGCCAGCTCGGCCCACCCGCCAGTAAAAGCCGCTCTGATTGGCCGGGCCGTAGCCGGGAGGGCGGGGCCAGTCGGGGGTCGCACCCCTTCGTGGCCGGGACTCCGGTTGCTCCCGACGACTAGCGGAGCCCCCAACCGGCCCGGTGCGCCCGGTCCGGACCCCGCCCCCCGGCGCGGACAGCCAGGCCCCACCCCCGCGCCGCTGGGTCCAGGACCCGCCCCCAGGAGGCGGGGCGTGCCTGCCCCCCGCCTCTGACTGACAGCCCGGCGGACTCTGGGCTCCGCGGAGCAACTATAAGCTAGGTTCCCGCCGCCAGCGCTTTTCAGCTACTCTTACCTCCAAACCTGCCTACAGCACCACGTCGCCTGAGGTGGTATACCCCGGCCTTCACCACCCCGCGGGTGCTCAAGGACCAGAGGATGAACCGAAGCATTCGTTCCAATATATAGGACACTTTAAACTTTTGTTATTTTTGCACTTTTAAATTAATTAACCCACGAACTATTTACTGAGCGCACCTTTTTCAGGCACTAAACATACAGTAGTTTGACATTAAAACAAAACAAAAAAATGTTTAATGATAAATCCCCCAAATCCCTGCCCTTATGGGCTGTACACGTGCTTTTCACTTGACCCTGAAGTTACTTACGGAATCTGGAAGCTACTTTTGAATTCATAAAGTGGTGAACTCAAAGAGAGCGGGGACCTGATCTTTTATAGGAATTAAAAATGTGAAGTACGTATTACGCAAATAAAAGACTTGTAACCCCAAACACCTTTGGAAGGCTCTGTGAATTCTCCAGGAAAGAGGATATTTCAGGTCGGTCATTAGGCGCATGAACTCCAGTTTGGAAGCCACCTTCTAAAGCCAAGCAGTGGTTCTCGGGCCTCAAGTTGTGTAGATAGGCTGCAAGGACACGAAATTATTGATAGTTGAGATATACTTTTTAAATTACCTTCTATAAGTCCTTGCACAGAAGGTGCTTCTTGCTACGGACAAGTCTTCGAGGGAATTCCAGTCCTTTGATCTCTCTGGGCTTGGTCTCCAAAGACATTTGGGCGCGGTAGTCCACGACAGTAATCCGCGCGACTGGAGAGGCTGAGGCAATAGGATCACAGGCTAGCCTGGGCAAATTAGCGAGCGACCCTGTCTCAAAATAGTGTAATAATCTAAAAAGGGCTGGGGGTCTAGCTCGGTAATAAAGTGCCCCTGTTCGACCCCCAGCACCACCCCCCACACACAAAATGACAGCTAAGGTTGCTGCTGCCCTAGTCTCTCCACCCTGCCCCAACTCGTAGAGGTGACAAGGATGGGAAGTGGTCCTGGTTTCAGGGCCTGCACCAGCTTCTTGGTTGGATACCTGCCTCTCAGAGGACGTTGCTGATGACCTGGGCCTAAGGAGTAGCCAGTTGGCAGCTGTTTGCAAAGAGAGGCATGAGCACAAGCTCGGGTGTCCATAGGACTCTCTATGAGGCTCTCTCAATGCAGTACATCGCCAAGAGCACAAAGGGGCCAGGCAAGAACATTTTCTAGTGTAGAATTCTGGAGAGTTCAAAAATTCTCATTTAGAACCTGGTCTGCCAGGACCTTATGAAGGTATATTTTTGTAAAGTTAGCAATTTAAAACATATTTAATAATTTTGAAATATTTAGTATGTAGCTAGGCATGGTGTCACATGTCTGTAATCCCAGCAACTGGGAGACTGAGGCAGGAGGATTGCAAGTTCAAGGCCAACTTTAGCAACTTAGTGAGACCCTGTCTCAAAATTTTAAAAAAGGGCTGAGAGTGTAGTTCAGTAGTACAGAACCTCTGAGTTCAATCCCCAGTACCAAAAACAAACAAAACAAAACCAAAAGAAAGAAAGAAATAGTGTGATAGTGTGTGAGTCATTTATAGTCTTGCCTCATAGTCTTGTCTCAGCCTCCACAAATAACATGGGCAGGGCAGATTTGAGAATTTAGTTCTTTTGCCATCATCTGCCATCTGCCAAATTTAATTCTATAATAATTTTTTGTTAGTTCAATCTTCAGATCTTACAACACTATGACTACTTATGCTATTAAGAGTTGAGTCAGGTAAACAACTAAAACTTCCTTTCCTGCAAAAAATTTTATTTTTCCTGGAATTAATCATTATCTTGTGTTTTCTTTCTTTTTTAATGATTAATAGAAGATTTATGTAAACAAGAAAACATTAGTTATCATTGCCAGACTTAATATATTAAATGTTCAGTGTAATTTCCCTTCCCAGATGTTTTTTCCTTCCTATCCTATTAGTTTTGAAAACATAATACCAGAAAAAGAGAGGTCCAATTCCAATCAGAGCACCTAAGAGTAAGTTCTTGGGAGTGGGTCTGAAATTCAGATAGATATTTGCTGATCTTGCATAGGTCCAGTGAATTAAGGCAGGATCTTCCATGACCTTTCTGTGGTTAGGGTCATGGTTCTGAATGAAGCAGATAATCCTGTTTAAAGCCAGGCTTTTATGGCCAACCACTGGGTTTGAGTCTTCCTGGTTTCCAGAGAAACTAGGCTGGGTCCAGAGTAGGGGGCAGAGTGGCCAGGTGTGACACGTTATACTTTGGGAATGACATCTTGGAACCCTGGTGCCTATCTTGTGTTTTTATTTGCTTAATTTTCTATGTATTTATTACAAGATTTGCTTCAACTCTTCCCACAAGAGTTTGTCTGCATCTCTTCTCAGAATAGCAGGATTCAGTAGATATTCTACACATTTCATCATCTGTTTTTTTTTTAAATTAGAGCATTATATTTATACACAGTAATTGGGTTCATTTTGACAAAAATCAAACATGCATGAAATTTAATTTACTACATTTCTGTTCCCATTCCACTCCTCCTTTCCCTTCCCTCCTGACTCTCCCTAATTCTCCTTCCTCTTCTGATCTTCCTTTCGCTCTTATTTTGTTAAATTAATTCTGCATTTCCTTCCCTTTCTTGTCCCTCATCCCTCCTGATCTCCTTCAATTACACTGATATTTCCCATATTTTTATGATAACCAATCCCTTCCCCACGACTTTTCTCCCTTATTTTGCTCTAGCTTCCACATATGAGAGCAAACATTTGACCCTTAATTTTCTGAGTCTGGCTTATTTCACTTACAGATGTTCTCCATTCCATCTTTAATTGCAAATGCCATAATTTCATTCATTTTTATGGTTGAGTAAAACTCCATTGTTTTTTGTGTGTATTACGCTTTCTTAATCCATCTATTATGGGCATCTGGGCTGGTCCATAATTTGGCTATTGTGAACTGTTCTGCTAAAAACATCGATGTGGCTACATCACTATAGTATACCGATTTTAGTCTTTTTGGATAAATTCCAAGGAATGGGATAGCTGTATCATATGGTGGTTCTACTCCCTAGTTTTCTGAGGACTCTCCATACTGCTTTCCAGAGTGGTTGTACTAATTTAAAGTTCCACCCACAATGAGTATACTATTTTCCCCACATCGTCACCAACATTTATTTTTATTTGTGTTCTTGATAATTGCCCTTCTGACTAGAGGGAGATGAAATCTTAGTATAGATTTGATTAGCATTTCCCTCATTGCTAGAGATGTTGAACTTTTTTTTTTTTTTCCTTTTGCACTGGAGATTGAACCCAGGGGTACTTCACCCTGAGCCACATTCCCAGACCATCCCACCTCACCCCCACCCTTTTTTGTTTGAGACAGGATCTCACTAAGTTGCTTAGAGCCTCACTAAGTTTCTGAGGCTGGCCTAAAACTTGCAATCCTACTGCCTCGGCCTTCTGAGTCACTGGGAATACAGATGTGCATCATTGCACCTGACTAGAGATGTTGAACATTTTTTCATATATCCGTTGGCTACCTGTGTTTCTTCTGAGAAATATCTGTTTAGTTTTTTTGCCCATGTATTGATTGGGTTGTTTTAAGCATTTTAAATTCTTTATATTTTCTGAATATTAATCCCCTTTCAGAGGAGGAGCTGGAAAAGATTTTTTCCCATTTTGTCCATTTTATCTTCTTGAAGCAATCTCTGCTGGAGTCTTCTGACAAGCTCCAATCTTTATCCCTAACCCTTGCTGCACATCTGGGAACCAGGCATCTTCTTTCCCATTCTCTTGGCCACTTTTTTTTTTTTTTGACACTGTGCTTTGTTGGGTCTTTTATTTTCTATATTCCTTGTCTTTTTATTTCTTTCTGGATTTACTACCCCTGCCCCGCTTTCTTTCTCAGTCCTAAAGATCAAACTCAGGGTTTCCCTCATGCTAGGCAAGTGCTCTACTACTGAGCTACAGCCCCAGCCAGGCAGTAGACTTGAGTTATCCCATTGATGATTTTCTCCCTTCCATCTTCTCTGTTCTTTTTTAGAACTCCTATGATTTGATGATGAACCTGCCAGGCTTGTCCTTATAATTTATATTTTTTCTCTCCAATTTTCCATGTTTTTTATGTTTCTGGGAGAATCCATCCACTTTATTTCCTTCTATTGATTTTTTTTCATATTTTAAAGATTTTTATTGCTCTCACTTTATTTTTATTCTCCAAATATTTCTTTTTGCAGCATCTTATTTTGTTTCAGGTTACAATAGCTTATCTTGTCTTGAAATATATTACTGGAAGCTTTGTTCAATTTTTCTTCTTTCTGCATAATCTCTGTTTGCTCCAAATTTCTTTTTCTGTGGGTTTGGTCTCTGTCTTCCATATTATGTTCTTTTCTTGGAATTCTTATAATCATTGGTTGTCTGCTCACACTTAAGGATAGGCTACCAAGAAGAGGATTGGAAGTGTATCCCCCCCCCCCAATGCACTCAAGTACACACGTGGGTTTGTTGATCATGAACTGCTCTGCACAGTGATCTGGCTGGGAACCTCTGATGGTAGTACCTGTTCTTTCCTCTCAGAGGGTCAGACAGTGGAAACTGCTAAATCTCTGGTCTGGCACAACCAATCCCTTTTGCCATGCAGTTGCCCTGCTAGCTTTAGCATCTCTTCTCTGGTCTGAGTAATTGCTCATCCAATTGGTTTCCATTTTTCCTAAAATTGTGCTCTTGTCTCCTTTCCTGTCCTTAGTGGATTTATTCCTTTAAATATATTTGTGATAGTTT